GGGGGGAGGGATAGTAGTCTAAATAAAGCTAAATAGATTACTTCATAGAAGGGCTCAGAATCTTTGACACACTAATAAAAACAAAGGATATGTCATACTGTGTTTCTTAAGTTTATCCGATCACAGAATACCTTTGATACACAGCAACAGTTAACGTCTTTTGTTAACAATACCATTTTAGGAAACTGTTCAAAATGCAGTAGCAAAGTCCCAATAACAAAACAAATAATAATGTGTTCTCAAAGTTCCCAGTCACGCCACACCTGCAAGCTCCTGCGAAAAGGCTGACATTTTGACCCTTACCTAAGTGTATTTCTTCAGAGTCCCTGTATGAAATAAGTAGGTAAGCTAGAGAAACCTGAAGGTGACGCAGGGCAGAGGCGAGAAGCGGCGCGGTGCCCACCTGAACAGCGCGAGCACGTCCTCCCGGGCCGCCGCCACCTCCTCCTCGGGAAGCATGGTCAGCACCGACGCCTTCAGGAACACGTACGTGGCCTGCGGGACAGGAAAGCTCTCGTCAGAGAAGACCCCCGGGACGCGACGCTTCTCCCTGTAATCAGAATGGCCTACGAATCTTCCCGATTTAATACTTAAGAGGCATCAAAGATAACATGAAGTAAAAGACAATGAAAGCCTATGCCGCCTGTTCCACACGGGATCAATCCCTTGCACGGGACTCTGGCCCTTTTCCTGTCGTGCGGCTGCAGGGTCCAGGGCTGAGAAGACGGCAACCCGAGCAAGAGCTCCTTAGCTCAACCCCCAACTTCTCACAGATGCGCCGGTCAGTGCATTACTGTGAAAGGCTTTGTCATCAGGGCACTGGAAAGTCTACACAAAGTTATCAAGGCTACTGATATTTAATAACTTTTAAAGATAAGTGCAGGTCATCCTCAGAACAAAAGCTCTGTTGAAAGGGCTCTTCAGACGGCTTTTGAAGCACGTAGTGCTGAGGACAGCGGATATAGCCGACAGGCACTAAATGCACATTTCCTCCTGTGACACATCTCAGTGCAGAAAACCGTGGCGATATCATACTACCGAACAAACAGTCCTTACTGCAAATCATCCTGTATGCTTATCAGCACAAGACGGCATTAATAAAAGCACTGCACTTTACCTTGGACCATTTACTCTCTTTGCAAAGCAGATCTGAATAGTAATACGCCTTCCTCCAGTTTTGCTGGAATATATTAATCCACATCAGCTCCCAGTAACAGAGATGGTGAAATTGTTTCCATTCTTCTTGAACTGAAATGCATTTTCGAAATATCTCTTGTGCCTATAAGTCAATTGCATAAAGCTGATCATCCAGATATTACACAAGGAGATAATAACCTAATGGAAAAATACATAAAACACTTTGTACAAAAGGAACAAAACCATCACTCATTAAACCACTCAACATGATGCTATGTTCCTGTCCTTACATGCAGAGACAGTTAATTTCTGCCTCTCTGTTTAACTTTGTGAGGGGGCGTGAAACTTCATAATGTGGGAATGGGGAGTTATAAAATGTAGTAAGATATAAAATGTAGATATAAAATGTAGAAGATATAAAATGTAATAAGTCCTTTAAGAAAAGACTGACAATAAAAGTCAGAACTTTCAGAGGGTAAAATATACCTTAAACAAAGTTAAGGCCATGAACGGGCTGGGGAAGATATCACCATCCATATAACTGGCAACGGATTAACCCTTATCATACATCAATTTTGTCAAATCTTCTGGAAAAAGACACAACTCATTGGGGAAATTGTCAGAGATAAGTAGGCAAATTGGAAAGATACACAAGTAACAAATATACATATGAAGAAGTTTGTAAACTGAAAATTATAAATTTAAAAATTAGATTATCATTTTTCAGCCAAAAAAGTGGCAAAAATAAAACACATAATGTCCACAGTGAACAAAGAGCACTGGAAGCAAGTATTCTTATATTTTTACAAGAGTTTAAATGGAAGAGCCTTAAGTTTGGAGGGCAATCTGGCAGAATTTATCAAAATGCAAACATCTTTGCCTGGATGCACGTGGCTCAGCAGCTGAGCATCGACCTAGGATCCAGGAGATCACAGTTCGATTCCCAGTAGGGCACATGCCCAGGTTGTGGGCTCGATCCCCAGTGGGGGCCATGCAGGGGGCAGCCAATCGATGATGACTCTCTCATCATTGATGTTTATATCTCTCTCTCCCTCTCCCTTCCTCTCTGTGAAATCAATAAAGATATATTTAAAAACAGTAAACATCTTTGATCTTGAAATCTTAATGCTCAGAATGTCATACACACACACACACACACATACATGCTCAGAAACATACACATAATCATGTTTACAACAGCACTGTTTGCAGTAGCTAGATGTCTATCAACGGTGGACTGCTTTAATAAGTATAGTATATCCATCCATGCAATGAAACCCAGCCATCAAAAAGAATGAGTGGGATTTAGATACACTGACCTGGAAAGAAATCCAAGATGTAATGTAAGTAGGAAAAAAACAAATCAAAGCAAAACACATATATATGACCCCACTTGGATAGAAGAAAATTGTTTGTGAGCATATTTATATAAAAGGCTCTTCATCTTCTCCTTCTTCAAGGGAATTAGTGAATAATTAGTGAAGATGAAGAGAACACATGTAGTGCAGTGAAGTTTTATCGTATGCAGGGGCTAGATTCCAAAGTCAATATAAGAGAGAGAAATTGATAATAGTCAAGTGTTTTTGAAAAACCCCTTAAATTGTCCACCTGTATTTTGTATACTCTACTGTTAACTGTTTCATGTACTGTATGTGTAAATGTAGACTATAATCAGTAATCTACTACATATAATAGAATGCACACACAAAATTTAATTTTGGCTTTTTAATTACAGATTTTTTTCTTTGTTACTGTCTAGTGCATATAGCCAAATTTACTTATGTTGAATGAGTATGTGATGCAACTCCACCACACAGACAGCTCCCCAAATAACTCCCCCAGAATAAATTACCTGTTCTACATTCCCTTTCAGCAGCTCTATTCGGGCATGGTAAAACAACATGAGTGAGCCCTGTGGAGGAAGGAGGAAAACAGACTGTTCAATGGCCAACCCTGGTTGATGGGTTATGGCTGAAACATGCACTTGGAATTATAGGCATACATTTGGAAACTGCTGGAGGAAGGGTGCAAGGAGAGTCTCCGCTTCCACAACATCCACCTCTCCTGTACCTGGAAATTGAACAGGAAAAGCCTTAGTCTTCATGAAACACGGTAGATACTAATAATTAATTCTCCAAATTTCATTACAATAGAGCTAAGGCCTATTCGTGGAAAAGATGAAAACTGCTCATTTGTCATTTTTACATTTGGAAAATAAAATAAGTCTCATCTGTGACTTTCACTTAAGAAAGCTCTAGGACAGACTAATTCTTAAGAACAGAGGTGGTTGTCTTAGATTCCTAATCGGAATTTCTAGTTTGAATAGCGATATTAAGTTATTTTAGCCAAAAATTTAATTTAAAAAGAAACCTAATAGGAAGATCCTGACATAGATTACCTTAAACAATTTTTATAGAATTTTTTTTTTTTTTTAGCTAAGAACAGCTAAGAAAAAATTCAATGAAAGAAACCCTCCACCAGCCCCTGACAAATGTAACTATGACAAATATCACTATTTTCCATCTTTACTCATAAGTAAATACATAAATAAACAGATATAGACTACTAGCACTTATGGATTTTTCTAAAATTTTACATAGGTGATCAACTGTCAATGAGATAAACTGTAACCCAGTACTTACCAAGTATTAGGGAGATGTAAGTATGAAAAGACAGGATAGTTAAGCAGCAGAGTGGAGACCTCATGCTCCTTCCTGATGCACCTTCCTGTAGCTGCAGGAGGCCCAGTTCCTGTGGGAATTGAATGCACCTTGATGAGAAGAGTGTAACTGAAAAATCATATTCAGAAGCTTTAAAATGCTAGTTCATGTACCCCCACCCTCCATGAAGGTGGGTTTATTCTTCAAGAGCTTAGAATAGTCATAATTCCTAACTAGAAACAAACTTTACATTTTAAAGTGGCATAAGACAATCTCACAAATTTTTTAAATCATGTGATTCTAGGGAGAGAAAAAAGCAGAGCTCATTTCATAGAAATACTGTGTTTCACTGGTATAAATATTAATGAATTAAAACATTGAGGATGTAAGTGGAATACACTACAGTGGGTATGAACAAATACGGTTCTATGTTTTCAAAGACCTTTCCATCAAATAGAGAAGATGGTGAATGAAGACATGATTTTATTAAAATATAGTAAGTGCCACATGAGAGATGAATGGTCAAGGGGAAGGGTAATCATTAACTACAGAGTCTGAATAGACAGAACATATTATGAAGAGATCACATGAGTACACCATAGCTTATGAAGAGCCTGGAAAGTAGAATAAAGGAGGGAAAAAACTACAGGTTCTTACATGTGCTCTCATACATTTCTTAAAATCTGCTCTCTTAACTAACCGGGGCAGCTTTTGCAATAAGGCAACTCTGATCATAGCATGTGATTAATAAATGTTATATACTACAAAAACAACTACACAGGAATGCAATAATCAAAACTCATGGAAAACAAATTTCCTTGCTTAGTTTCATAGCAAAACTTGTAAAAACACGAGGAAACCCAAAATACTGTAACTATGCTTGATCCATGAGAATCATAAAATGTTAGACTTGGAAATCTAGCCAATTTCCCAGTTTTGCAGAAGACTTGGGGGTTGCAAAAATGTTAAGGAAGCAAATTTGAACCACACAAGTGTACTAAAGGTCGAGCAAGCAGCAATACAGGGCAGGGCAAAAGCAGGTTTACAGTTGTGAGTACACGAAACAGTTCATTCTTGTATTATTATTTATTAATTATTGTATTATTGTCCATACGAACAACTGTAAACCTACTTTTGTCCCACCCTGTATTAGTAAAATAAAAATCTTAACTCCACAATTTAGGTAACAAAGACAAAAAAATTTAACTTTCAGTAGAAAAATCATCTCTAATTCCTGAAAAATATGATCAAGGACCAATAGCTCTTTATTGCCCTGCAAACAAATTGCCAACAATTGTCATGTTAGTTATGAGGACATGTTGCATTGCTCTAATATTCAATAAATAATGTTTTATCCTCACTGTCAAAATTAAGATAAAATTAAATTTGTACCCTATTTCCAGAAAATCCTATAAATTCTAGTAGCTTGATAATCCGTGCTGGTAAAAGGGACAGCATCTGTAAGAAAAAAAATACAAGTGTACTCACATGCTAGTGTATCTAACTGTAGATAAATGTAAACTCCAAACAACGTCAAGTTTTAATGATTCAGTAATAATGAAAAATTAGAACCAAGTCCAAATCACTAGACACGTTTCACTCATCACACACTGCACATGCTGCAATCACTGCTTGTGAATTAATTTCATTTAGCTAAGACAATAACCTAAAAAATTTAATGTTTAAAAAAAAGAAAAACCTGGCCTTTCAGCCTTCTCTAAAGAACACTCGCTCCTTTCATATGTAACGATGAAATGGTGAGAAGGCAATTTCTCGGTGCCCACCTTTCCAAACAAGGTTTCTTTCAGCACCCCGTTCCGGAAAGCAAGTCTGCTGTGCTCTGCCCGATATGCAGGCACCGCCCGGAGGCGGACAGCTGCAGCGCTACAGCCCACCTCTGGGACACACCTGAAGAGCAGCGGTTAAGGGACATCCTCCCGTCGCAGAAAGTCAAACAATGCACGTGACTGTTCACTTGGCTTGGGAGGAGAAATGGCCATATGTGTGATTATATACGATTCATAGGCTATAGCCAATGGTTTGGTTGGACGTTAGGGATTTGGAAAGAACGTGATGAGAAAATTGATGACAAGGAGGTCTGGGGAAGAGGTGTGTGGATAGACATCTCTGAATGGGCAAAAAGCATGAAGATATTCGTGTCCCAGGTGAATGTTCACTAAAGGCTGACCTCAGTAGAGGAGAATTTTAATAATCAAGTGAAGCCCAGCCGGGCGTGGCTCAGCAGTTGAGCGTCAACTTAGGATCCAGGCGATCGGGGTTCGAATCCCGGTCAGGGCACATGCCCGGGTTGGGGCTGCAGCCGATCAATGACTCTCTCATCATTGATGTTTCTATCTCTCTCTCTCTCCCTCTCCCTTCCTCTCTCTGAGATCAATAAAGATATATTTAAAAAAATAATAATAATCAAGTGGATTGGGTGACCTAGTCTGTGGACAGTAGCCAGTCTCCTTGCTCAACAACCTCTGTCAGTGACCCATGAACAGAGTGGCCATGGTGTCACAGACCCTCATGCAAATGATTTCCTTTACTTATTTTCTCAACAAATCCAGTCAAACCTTAATAAAATTTCAAAATCTCTAACATATCACAATTTGACAGATATCTACTCAAACGCTTCATCTGCCCCAGAGCATCAAAATCATTCCCCAAGTCATACCACTTCTTCGCCCATTTCCAGTTCCAGAGCCACCACTGCTATACCAACAATATTTCTGATGTGGAAAGGGAACTTATTACCGAAAAATGTTACTAGTCCATTCAGAGTACTATATGTTTCCTTTTGTTGTACAATCCAAAACTATTCTGAGCATGTGCAGGACTTTACAACACATACTGACCAAAGCCCCCACTGGGTCCCAGCAGAAGAAAACTGATCCCACTCTAGCCACTCACTTATCAATCAAACCCGGGCAGAGGGTCAGGGTGAGGCTCAAATGCAGTACAAAGGCATTGAAAACTTATGACTCTTTAACAAAAGATTCTGGTTGATATGTAATTATTTGCTTACCAAATTAAAGGCCCCTAATCCAAGTTTGACACCCCCTTCAAACTCATAGAAGAATTGTTGCTCAACTTTGTTCTTCTGAAGTATATCTAGGAGTGAAAGACATTCTCTGGATTGAAAGAAACAGTTATAACAAGTTTATTATGACTCTGAAAACTACTGTTACGTAGAATTTCACACTTACACATCATAAAATATAATTGTCATTAGCCAAAATACTAGAGACTATTTAAGTGGATATTGCTGTGCTGAGTTTTATTTATTCTTAAGGCTACTGGGTAATTATCAGTAAAGAAAAATGGCACAGCCCATTTCTACCCTGTTCATCAGGACCAGTCCTTCCGGGCTTAAAGCAAGAGAGGGTTCCAACACCAGCAAGTGTAACTCAGAAGACGTAGGGCCGCAGGACGGCGGCCTCGGGCTCCCAGCAATGTGCTGGAGGGGCCTTCCTAGGTGCAGCCCATTCCTCAGTGCTGTGCACACGTCAGCCGCCCGTCTTCCACTGAGTAACTCACATGCTACTGACAAAAAATTTTCATTTCAGTACGACTGCCATGGTCTCAAATAGACCAAATAAATTAGAGCTTGTGACTAGGAAAGACTGAAAGAGGAGAGCAAATTCCATCACAATGGCTCCATTTTTCCTCTTATCTTTCCCTGTTCCATCCAAGCAGATCTTTCTGATTTCTCACTTCAATATCTTTTCGATGCATTTCTCCCTATCCCTTCACATCTTCAAAAGAGAAATGCAAATTAAACAGGACAAAGATATAAAAATTTATAATCATCAGGAACTGCTTATCAAGTTGACAAATGTATTTTTTAAGGTATAAGGAAAAAACAGATATTATGTATCACTTGGTGTGATGTAATTATAAAGCATGCACCTTTGTTTATGATGTATTCAAGCCAAATGTATTTAACCTGAATCTAGTAATCCTGTAGATCAAACTTCTAGTTTACAGGAAATATAAGGAGCTATGAACTGAATGATGTCACGTCCCCTCCCGCCCACCCCCCCC